GGTGGCTATGGCGGAGCTGCCACAGAGGCCAGCAGGTGGATGAGGGAAAGGGGAGGCAGGAGGAGGAGAGACCCGACACAAATGCTTCAGGAGCTGTCAGCACCCTGGAAATACACGGACACATCCGTAGACTCGAGACAGAATTCACAATGCGTTTTCGGGACTTTCAGGTGTATGGACCAATGTTTTATTTTCTGATCAAACCAGAAAGCTTTAATGAGCAGCTGTATTTGTCTCGCATTAACTGGCTGAGTTAATGCCAGTTAATGCGACATCGAAATGCAGCTGATTGAACTGAAAACCTCGACTCTGTGGGGGTCAAAGTTTACAGAACTACGAATGCAGCTGGAATCCACAGCTGTGCGTGTTCATGGAGCTTTCATTTTCACCTGCTGGACATCACTACCTGACAAGTTTAACTGTCTTCAGAACATTGCAGAGGCCTTATTGACAGTATTTGGCTCTACATATCTGTGTGAGCAGGTTTTCTCTCACATGAGTGTCCTCAGGTCTGAATGCTGGACACTTGGAGACCTGTGTCTCTGAGTGGGAGACCAGAGATCACATTAACATGTGTGTCTCTGTATTAACAAACATGCCATATTGGTTCAGTTTATTTTTCTTATCATTGTTGTGAGGAGACCATAAATAGCATTTGCATTTTCTGTTGTATAGTACATTTACTGTTATGGAGTTCTTGTTATGGATAAAAAGTCTTTTTTTGTTTCAAAATAGCTGATAACTATTCGCTGATAGCTGCCAACATCTGCGAACAAATATAATTCTATAAAGTTGTTCTGCATAGTGTGTAACTGTTAATATAGAGTGTTATTAAATTTATTGCCAATGCAATCATATGGCACACTGACCTCTGAGGAAATTTTAGATGGCGCTCATGATCAAAAAGGTTGCCTACCCCTGCTTTAGATCACTGCCATCTTGTGACCACGGTTGTCTATTGTTGCTCAAAGCTCTGTTTCTTTTGTACTCATAGGAAATTGTAGCTGTCACTGTTTAACATCTCTTTTTTTGTGATTTGCGCATGCACGTTGTGGATAAACTGTGAATCTTTCACAGTAAACTGATGGGGAATAGCACGCGAGGCGAGGCAAGCTACCGCTGGAACTGTTTTCACTGCTCTGAGGACCACAGCTAGCATTAGCTAGTAAAGATGTTTCAATGATGTGGCACCATAACACATGAATTTCCTCTTGCTAACCGCCATGGTCAATGTGCGACTTCCTTCAACAAGCAAGTTGAGCAGGTGCAGGCTCAGCAAGCACTTTTAGATTAGCATCTACACAATATGCTAACGCTGAAGTGTCATAAGACTTGACAAACAATTCATTTGTGTTGGTAACATTTATTTTAAAAATGCATTTCAGATCACAGTCAGACGGATTTTTTCTGTGGAACCTCAGCCTTGATTTTTCTTTGTTCACTCTGGTTTTTGAAGAAGTTCTGAAACACTGTAGAAAATGATGGGATGAATTTTAATTTGTATTACATCTTTGCAGCATAATAAATTCCTGGATGGACTGACTGACCACGAGTGATTATTTTCATTGCAGATTAATCTTTTAAATTTTTTGATGAAATGCCAAGTCTTTTAAAATGTTCCAAAAACTCATTAACTGGAATGTCAAACAGGTTGGGAGTAAACAATTGTCCTTTGATGTTTTCTGTTTCTGATCTGTTTTGAAAGGATGTACAATTACCAATCCTGGACACTTAAAAGGGTCTGAGCAGAAAATGTAAAAATGCCATCTCTCCTGTGCCCACAAAAAGTCAGAGTTAATCAACAAAAGAAGGTCTGTACCTCTAAAACTGAAAGCTACAAAGCAGCCAACAGAAAACCAAAAATTATTGCATTATAATAAATCCTGCACTTTTGAGCTTATCACTTTTGCAAAACAGTCAACGATGTCCTGTGAGTCTCAGCAGGAGGATGAACACAGTCCTCTACCTCAAGCTGTTTATCTTTCAGTTCTCAGAATTTTTACCGTTCTGAGAGCAAGTACATAATCTCTGAGCCAAAAATAAAGCCTGGGTATAACAAAGCACTTCTGCTGCCTTTTAAAAGGCCATTCAGTCTTCTACTTAGGTTTGAAAAAGAAAGAAAGAAAGAAAAAAAAAAAAGGTTTGAAAACTTTTTATTTAAAACGAAGCTCTGTCTGAGGAACTGTTGCGGTTTCTTTAGATTTTACCTGACCCGACTGAACCACTTCTATGTTTAGACTCATGAACACAAAAAAATATTTAAAATCCTGGGCACATTTTTAAAGGTAAAAATGTTCGAATAAGGGAATTAACAATAGCATGGTTGTTATGGTGGGCAGAGAACACTGTGCTCAGCCTGGTGTGCTCAGCTGGCTACAAGCACCATGTGGATGTCAGACTCATCTCACACTTGTCCATCACCAGAGACTGATGTGATGTTAATGATGCTGCAGACTGATGTAAGGCTTGATGCCATGGCAACAGCCTCCTGCTTCAAAGAAATTCAGTTGTGGTTTTTATGAAGGCCGTCTGTGCATTTCAGTTGAGTGTATTTATGACCTGCCAGAGCGGAGAAAAATACAATGGAGAAGAGATTCTTAAACCATCTGAGGTCAATGCTTTAAATAAAAGCGTATTTATAACATTTATAACATCATGCAGGACTCATCACTCTGACAACCTGACATAGAATCCAACCTATTAAACACTACAGCTTATAAACTCATCTATTTGTTTTAATTTTTGTTTAAGTTAGGTATGCCTGACCAGGAGGAACATAAATCCATCCATGTTTTTTAACTGCTTTGCAAACCAGTGTTTTCGTGGTGACTGAAATCACCCCAGCTGACTTTGCTAAAAGGCAGGGACATCAGAGAGACAAACAGCTCATCCACGCTCGAATTTACAACAATCAGTCTTTGAGAACATACTAACTCCAAATAAAAAGGTCACTCAGCACATTAGGCTTTTCCTTTTTCTTGTGAGGCAACAGTACTAACCATTGACACTGATAAATACATCTAGAAGCCTGTTTTTGATGAAAAACTTGTTGTTGTTGTTTTTTCACATAATGTGCCACTACTTGGTTAAAATATCATTTTAAATGTGTTTTGGTTGTTCAGTTTAAACTTTCTTGGAGGAAGAACATTGCAAAGCAAATAAGTGCAGTTTTTCCAAATTAAAAAGAATGGTTAAGAACTACTCCACTACTTAATATTAAATACTTCCATGTGTTGCTTATTGTTTTTCAAATGGTGGACACACAGAAATACCAGCACCTTTTTTTGTCTCACAAATGACATCACTGTGTGTAATTTTTTTCTGATTGTTTTTCACTACTACTCTTTGAATCCGTGTCTGCAATCAAATATAATCCCTGCCTCAGCTACCCTGGTTTTCCAGTCTGTGCTTATTCCCACTTGGGAAGCACGGTGCTTCCTTGTGCTTTGGACTAACTTCACTGAGATTAATTGTTCTACTTGATTGTTTTTTTTCCTGCCAGCCTCCTGCTAGCCAGCTGACCCCTCTCTGTGTTGTGTTTGCATGTTCTCCCCATGCTTCCATGGGTTCTCTCTCCGGGTGGTCTGGCATTCTCCCACAGTGCAACACGTGCACGATAGGCTCCAGGTCCCTGCTACCATTAATTGAATAAGCAGGTAAACATGGATGGATGGTTGTATGGTTGGTTGATTAAACATTCTAGACTTTAAAATGTGAAAATTTTTATTCTTTATATTATATAAATTCTTTAGAGTTTAATGGCTAGATATAACATGGCTTCCATGTACAATGTCAGTTTCTGGATCATAGGGTATTCCAAACTAGGTAGGATATTATTAATCCCAAGTTTGGCATTCTCAAAAAAGTGGAGAAAAGACACTCTTTTGAGCAACATAGAGACAAGATGGAGATGGAGAGACAGCAACCAGACGCAACTGACTACACAGAAGAGATGCTGGGGAGTGCACACACAGGCTAAAACAAGTGACTAGACACAGGAGCTGGGGATAAAACAGACATGGAGACACGACAGAGTGGAGGGACAGAACAAAGCCCAGACGGGGACATGACTGAGCTGAGAGAGCAGGAGACAGAGACAAGACCGGTGAAACGGGAAAATAAACATGGAGATAAGGCTGGAGACTACAAAAACCAACACAGGAAGCTAGACACAAGAGAACGAGAGAAACACTGAGGTTAGGAATTAGTCTCACTAAACACTTAAAGCATGAGGTAAATGAAACCAAGAATCTACTCAGAATATTCAAACACTATAATGTCCAAAAACTACAACGCAGGGCCATGACATATAGAGATTTACACTTGGTGAAACCTCGGGAGCTGCAATGATCCACGCTTGTGATGGCTCACATGATCAATAGGGGATCAATGACCCTCAGGAATACCTCCAAAGGGCCCCCTACATTGGGTTAAATACCTGGGTCACACAGTTGTTATAGAAGTGAGGAAGCCTTTTGGACGAGATGTGAAATATCTTCACAAGCCAAGAGACATCCAGTTACCTTCTTTTTAAGCACTCAACAGGATTTAATAATAATTTTAGTACTGTAGATTTAAAAAGGCAAACTATCTGACCAGAGCAGTATTTGTGTGATGTGAGATGATATGTGAGGAGAGAGAAAGTAAAATGTTTGTGTGTGAGTTGAGTCAGACGGGGCCGGATGCCAGGCCTTTGATTAACTGCAGCCAGCCCAGAATCATGAGGTGTTCCCGTTGTTAGAAGACATGGAGCTCCTGCTGAGAGTGATATCAAAGGGCTGCAGTCACTACTGCTGATCTGCCAGCTACCTGCTGTGTCAACATGTCTGTCACCACTGCCACGCTGGGCCAGGGATCATACACAAGAAGGGTCAGGTGGGGAAATGAGTAGAGAAGTAGAAGAGGAGAGGATTTGTGTTTGTGTTGGTGCTCGTGTGATGAATTATAAATGGTTGGGAAGAGGAGGAAAAAGAGCAGATGAGGTTGGACAAATCACTTACTGTCCTCCGAAGAGCTGCATCCCCAGCAAGGCAAAGACCACAATGAAGAGGAACAGGAGGAAGAGCAAGCTGATGATGGACTTCATTGAGTTCAGGAGGGAAACAACAAGGTTCCTTAAAGAGTTCCAGTATCTGACATGAAAGAGCAAACAAAAAGAGGGGCACAAAGAAATTATTGTTGTACATACTGGAGCACACACACAAAAAACAAACAAACAAACAAACAAACGGGAAGACTCAGACAGAAATAATATGACAAATCTTGCAAATACACATATCAGAACAACCAAAGCAGAGGAGGGCAGAGTGGAACAAATAGCAACAAGAAGTGTAGGTGGCATAAAACAAATCAGTGTGTCAGGGTGTACAGCTGCCAGTCTCACTGAATGACAAGATTAAGGCCAATCTAATGGCATGAAAGGTATAAACTATGACATGATTGTCAGTACAGGGAGCAAGGCAGAAAAGAATAGAAGAACACAGCTTCAATATTTAGGACCTTCTGGTAAGAAACTGTTTTATAGATGTATTGGTAAGTTTATTATCAGGTCTAGTCAAGTGCAGTCCAAGTGTTACGTTGCAGGTGTGTATTAGCACAATGCCACAATATTAGCAGGAGTGGACAACCCAATAAATTAACCCCAAGTGTTTGGATGCCTGGGTCGTTGACCCAGGGTTTTTGAGTTTATTATATTATTTATAATTTCTAGTCTTTGGTTTCTTTGAGTTCTGTCTTATGGTTTATGTCTCTGTCTTCTCTAGTTGCTCTGTCTCCCCTGTCAGCTGTATCCCCTTGTGTAGTTCGCGTCTCTGTGTATCCTTAGTTGCTATATCCCCGTGTCCAGTCAGTGTCTGTGTCTGCCCTGGTCCCACGTCTCTGTTCCCTCTGTTGCAGTGCGTGCGTGTGAGTCTGTGTCTTTAGTTCAGTCTGTGTCATGTTTCCTGTTTTATTTTGAAGGTCCTTGTCTGAGGTTAATGTATCTGGTTTCGCTTCCCCTTGTCTCGTTAGGCCTGATTTGCCCCAGCTGTGTTTCCCTCCTGTTACCCATTCCCTGATTGCTCCCTCTGTGTATTTAAGCCCTGTGTTTCTCTGTGTCGCGATCTACCGTTTATTTTGCTGTGTGTTTGTCTGCTTGCCTGCTTGCCTGAGTTTATGTTTAAAGTCTCAGTTCTGGTATCTTTTTAGTTCAGCATTAAAGCTGTTTTTTGAGTTTACTTTGTGCCTCCAAGTGTCTGCACTTTTGGGTCCACGATTCCTGTCTGCACACAGCCTACACCTAACACCAAGGTCAGACTGTGTGATGCCCAAACCGAAGAGCTCATACAACAGGACAGTTATGTCAAGCACAACAATAAATATACAACAGAATGTCTGAAAAAGAAATACTGTGGGAAGACCTTAAGAGTGCAATTAGAACCATATAAATGAATGCAATACAATTTTCAGCTAGATTCAGGTTTTGCTCAGTAAAGTAGTGCTTTCAGTTTTATGATTCATTGAAAGCTTTTCCTGTATTGCTTCCTGAAGACACATTTTAAGTGTTCAGATTAAAAGTCAAGGCAAAGAGATAAAAAGCAGACTCCTTAAGATTTCTCACTCTAACGTTATGTATATTTCACAGTTATGCACTGTATACTGTTTTTGTGTTCCACTTTGTCTGATTTATGACACCAAGAAGGAGACATTTTTCATCTAAACTGCAGCACACAATGAACACAATAATATTGGTGGGGCTGCAAAGTGCAAACAAAGAAAACATTTCTGCATTGAAGGCATGTTGTCAGGGATCTGTGTGCAGGCAGGCGGAGACTCGTCGAGACAAAATAGCAACTCAAAAACCACAGCTTTATTACCAGCAAATAACAAACACATAAACTGAACAATGAAAGCTGAGACCGGAAACACAAAGGCGAATCTGAGGGTACGACACGACGCTGAACACTGGAGGACACACACTATATATACACACATGAGGGAACGAGGAACAGGTGGGGACACAGCTGGGAGAAATTAGACCTAACGAGACAGAGAAAGCAAAACTAGAAACACTGATATAAGACATAAACCTTCAAAATAAAACAGGAAACACGAGGGCACAAGGACAAAACCTAAGAACTAAACCCTTAACCAGAATAAACTGAAACATAGATTTATAATAATGATCAACAAAGCAAAACAAGCGAATCAGAATATAACCCATAATACAAAATCATACCAAAACATAAGAACTCAAAATGCTGGGTCAAAATCACCCAGAACCGTGACAAATGTATGGTTATACCTTGTAGTTTCACACAGTGAACTCACTTGGTGACTTTGAAAATCCTAAGCAGTCTCAGAGCTCTCAGCACACTGATACCAAACGATGCTCCTGGTTTAATCATGTCCCAGATCACCTCAAAAATGCTGCCAACAATCACCTGAAGACAAAAGGAGAAGGTAAAGTTATTACCTGATGTGTGTGGCTCTGCTTTTAGGACACCAGTCATCACCAAACAGAAGCTTGGATTACAGCCTACACTTACCCCAAAATCAAAGCAGTTAAAGGAGGAGTGGAAATAATTCCTTACTCCGAGGCCGTACATCTTCAAAGTCATCTCAGTCAGAAACAAACCCAGAAACACAAACTCTGCAGTGTCTGATGGACAGAGCAACAAAACAGAGAGCGTGTAGTCATACAGGCGGTGAATAAGTGAGTATGTAGGAGTGCATTTTATTCTGACACTTACAGAGGGCTCTTGTAAGCCACTCGGGTTGGTCATAGTGGACTATGGCCACGCAGAGTGTGTTGAGGCCAACCACACACAGGACGATCCAGTAGAAACTCTGAGCCTTCACCATGCGGCGGATGAAGAAGCGGGTCCTCTTCTCTTTACGCCGGAAGTAAGATGAGCTGTCCATCTTACCGCTGCTTTTCACACTGGCCCGACCAAACGGAGAGCCAGGAGGAGCTGAAAACGATGACCAAGAGGTGAGAAAGGAAATGTGTGAGTGTGCAGCGTCTAATTATTTCTCAGATTCACAGTTTTCACAATGAATCACTGTTCGTTTCCTTTGCTTTTTTCCCCTGGTGATCTCAAAATTTTATTGTAAGGTAAATCTGTATAGAAACACTTAGGCCAGCTGTAGTTTTACAGGAACTGTGTGATGGATATGGGTATGTGTTTGGCACACTGGTTTCCTGCCTTTCATTCATAAAAGACTCACATTCTGTGACTCATATAAACTAAGCTGGTGTGGTTTGGTTTATAATTTTTTTTACAGTAATGTTTTCTAATAAGAGCTTGCATGCATCACATCCTGCCCTTTCAGCTGTGGTGTAATTAAATATTCAGGCTTCTGTGTATTGGGATTTTTTGCTTCGAAGAAATAAACATTTTACTTCTGTTGGGTTAAGAAAGCTGCACTCAGAATTTCAACCAAAACAAACACAACAGACTTTATGAACCCAGTGTCAAAGGCACTGTTAATTCTCTGTAAATAACCTCTCTCCTCTACACATGAGCAGCTCATGCAGGTTAGACAGAGCAGTAGGAAGGCTTTGATGCAACTGTAGTTTTTTTTTCTTTCAAATTTTAGGTCTGTACTCATGGAATACAAAACAGAGTAAAAGTGTGTGTGTATATCTATCTCTCTCTCTATATATATATGTATATATATATGTGTGTGTGTGTGTGTGTGTATTTATTTATTTATTTGCTCCAGTCAGGTCACTAAAGTACTCCACTGCTTCTCCTTTACCACAATGTACCCACTGAGACCCATAAATACAGATAAGGTAGCATCCTAATTTTATGCCCCTAAAGCGAGTGTCACTGGTCTCAGGGTGTTTGAGATTCAGATCACTTTATTTGTACCTACAGAGAGATATTCTGCACAGCATGTCTGGATTGTTTACCACAGGCTTGAATGTTGTACGTAGAATCTGCTGGAGCTACTCTTCCAGTTTTCCAGTTTGGGGTTTACATAATGCTACTAATATCCCCTAATGCTCCTATTATCGCAGGAACCACTTTGGATTTCACTTTCCACGTCTGCTGCATCTTCACCTCCTGGTACTGCTCAGTTTTCTCATGCATAGTTGTAAGGCCGTTCTTTCTAACAACAAATAAGGGGTTAAAATTGCAGTTGAAACATCCGCCTAGAAAAAATCTCCCAGACTTAAACCGCCGATATTACGCATAAGCCCTCCTCTGAATACGAGTCTGATACATCTATCTTCACAAGGAAGAAACTGAAAGTCACTAGGAAAAAGGTGCAAGTATTGAAGGAAAACTGAGTCAGCTGTAACTGTCTGGTGCACAGGGACACTCGACACTAGACTGAGACTTTTTGCACATGACACCAATAGAAAGGACAAAACTGATTCAGTGAATGCACAATAAAATAATATTTCTGTGGTTTGGTCAATGTAGAAATAGAACAGTTTTAGAACAACATGGGGTAGGGCTCTCAGTTCTGTTCGTATTTATCTTGTTTTAATTTGAAATAATGTTCTATTTTCATGCTATAGACATTTTTTAAGACTGCTGGTTTTATATTATCCTAATCTTCAGTGTGTGTTTTTAAGTTTTTAGTTACTGGTATTAATAAGTTACTGGTAAGTTGCTGCTATTTTGGGGGCAACTATTGAGCTAAGCTCACAAAAAGTTTCTTTTAACTGTTATACTAGGTAGAAAAATGTGCTCTAAACAGATTTAACACACTTTTAAATCTGCTCCCAAGCAATAAACTTGTTCATGGCCAAGATTGTAAACTGATTAAAATTTTTTTTTAAAAATCTCCCCATGGGACATAAATCAAACCATTAAATCACCTAAACACTCCTTGAAATTTACCTGCAGCTGCTCATTAAAACTGTGCACCTACTACTTCTGTGCTGCACAGCAGAACTGCAGGCATTATGAGTGAAACCAGTGAGATGAGACATGGAATATATATGACATCTATTCCCTCAGCAATGTTTTTTCTAAAGAAACAAACAAACAAAAAAAACAGTCATTGGATCAGATAATGGGGGAAAAAAAGAAGGCAGCTAAATTGTTTCATTTACCCTGCTAATGCCTGTTTCCAACCCACAGACAAGCAATTACACGTTGGCTTTGTTGGGAAGCATGAAGTCCCTTAATATTAAAAAGTATAATTTGAATATGCTGCAGGTGATTCTCCTGCTATTTCAACAGTCTAATTAGAAAAGTTAATTATGCTCCTTTGCCCTCAAGGTGATCCACAGCCAGGAGAAACTTTAGACATTCGGTCTCTGAATCCAAGAGCTGCTAGAATAATATACATTATTAAGATCTTTGGCCTCGTGTTTAAATGTTGCAGAGACATGGCATCCTGATCTGATAAAGGGAGGCGACAGAGTCAGAGAACGTGTTCACTGTAGAAGATGAGCCTTTATGGGGGGTTTATTGTAAAGGTCGTGTTTGTGAATAGACAGCATGTAAAGGTCAGAGGTATCCTGCTGGTGGACGTGGGTAAAAAAAAAAAAAAAAAAGATTTACCAACAGAGGAGATGTCTGCGAAAGGATCCTCCCCCTCCTCAGCGCTGATCAGGTCATTTTTACCCTTCTTCACTTTGCCTCGCTTCAGGACTGTAAAGAGAACAGCGCGGATGTAAAAGGATAATAATGTATATGAGGATACAGTAGGACCTGTTCTGCTTCATCTGCATTATTTAATGCAGATCTGTGAAAGTGAAGTTAATTATGCCAAGAAATGCTAGCATTTTCTTTCTCCAATGGAACAACTGTGTGCGTGTGGTGAAGATGGGTGAGCTAATTGGGAGCTATGAATAGCAGGCATCAATCACGTTTTTCATTTGGAGATTTTCTGCCTTGCTGCTTGAAGTCGGCCTTGGAATGAAAAACCGCCAGCATGACATGAATGTGAGGGTCATGTGACCACTTCAGTGCCGTTGGAGTGGTGGGCTCGTTCATTAAATCCAAACGCCTGTATATCTGCTCGGGAAAGCAGCTGAGAGGCAGGAAGGAGGCTGAGAAAATAAATACGGCTTTGAGATCACTCCAAGTCTAATTCTTCATCATCAAATCTCTTTCTGTAACTGAATCCCAGAAACCTTTGTTCCCTCTTCAGAGAGGGAAAAAAGCAGCTATGAAAATATCAACCTGTAAAAACTCGGTTTTTGAAGAAATGCCTGTACCTGCACTAAGATAACATATGTTTTGGTTGGCGGGTTTGCTTTGTTGTAAGCATTATATAATGATTCATTTATAGGAGCTCAAAAAACAGCCAAACTGATTTGAAAACAAGGAGATATCTGAATAAATGATTAAATTAAAGAAACCCCATATTTGTGAGAAAAGCAACAGATGTTATATTTAAATTTTTTTTTCTTTCAAATTTCTGTTCTTTGAAAGTAATTGAAAGCAGCTGCCGCACATCTTTTATCTATAAATGAAATATCCAGCCTGTAGAGTACGTTATAAAAAGGCTAATTTCCTCAATTTCTTATCATTAAAAGTCTTAGTAAATCATTTCAGAATAAAGAGTTTTATAATCCTTTTTTTCTCCAGACGGGCAGCTATGATTGACACTGTGCTCCGCTAATCATACCTGTCATTCATCTGACGGATGCCAAATACATATTTTCTGCTTCAACAACATCAGAGCGGTTTTTCTAAAGCTGTGCCTCATACGTTTTAATCCTCCATTTATAACTGATTGAGGGAAATAACGCTGCTGACTACTGTCATTTTGCTGGAGTCATTAGCATGCATGTGTATCAAATGTGTGTGTATCAGTTTACCGTCATGTATGTATGTGTGTTGGTTCAATAAGTTTCCTTCAGACTATCGTTGTTAATCCCACTAATTAACCCCTCCCTTCACATCGGGCCTAATGCAATGACATCATGAGGAAGAGAGAGAGACAGAGACAAAGAACAGTGAAGATGAGAGGGCAGAGTGGAAACCATGATTAGCAATCAAATGTCTGGCTAATCATAAATGCTGATATATTTTGCAGTCATGACCAGCAGGCTGCACTGTACTGACAGCATATTTTACAGATGTTCACTAGGACTTCATGTAACACTCCGCGCTATATTTTATATTTTATTTTAATGTTAAATGTAATAAGAGTAATTGTTTGAGTAAAAACCACTAATTAGCACAAATACAGTTAAGATTATAAGTTTACATAGTACACTCACCATAGGCATGAATGTCACAGTAATTTTGGGCTTAAACGATTTATTTTAACTGCTGGGTGCACAGGTTTTAATGTATTTTGGATTTTCTCTAATTCCCATAGAGTTAAAAGTATACATACAGGCTCAAAATACAAAATATGAGTAACTGTATTCTGTTACAGTTACCGTTTAAAAAGGTGGTATTTAGAATACAGTTACTTTGTTGAAATAAATGGATTACACGGCGGTATTTTCCTGTTTCCTGTTGTTGCGGGTCAGGATGTTCTGTTGTTCCAGGCGGCAGTGTTACGGTTGCCATGGCTACAGGGTGATGCTCTCTCTGCGACTGTAGCTGTGTCCCAAAACGTCGGCTGCATCCTCCGGAGGCCGCATTTGAAGGCCGATTACGTCACAGCCAGGCGACAAAGGCTGTCCCAATTCGTCGACTCCTACAAATTCGTCCTTTATTTCCCTGAATTTGAAGGATGGGTCGGGTGTGTCCTTCGTGGCCCACCATATCCCAGAATTCATAGCGCGGCTCAGCCAAATTTCAGCTGCCAACAATGGCGGCCGCTAATAAGTTTTAAAATTAGTCTTATTAATCTTTGTCGGTTGTAAAATAAACTTTTAACATATTTTCAGGCGAGAAAGTAGCTGTGTAAATTACAAATATGTGCTTGGTTTAGCAAGATATTGCATATTTGCAAAAGTGTGCCGATGTTTTCGGAGACGTCTGTTACCCACCAGCTCGATAGCAAGCCGGGGGGTTCAATGGTCACTCCAGCCGGCGAGAGCAGCGGACTCCCGGCTTCATCATTTTCAGACCCCCGCTCTTTCGCTACTCAGGTTAAACATGATATATAAGTCACTCGGATAACTTAAAAATGTAATTGTTTGCCTTTTTTCTCTGTTTTATTTGTTCCGGAGTAAATCGGTTTGGCTGAGATCAAAGTTATTAGATTATTAGATTAAATAAAACTTTATTAATCCATCGGGTGGGTTCCTCCGGGGTTTTCACACAGCTGAATAAACGTTAAACAGAAATGTGAGACGGTCGAGAATTTACGCCAGTGTCCTGTTATATTTTAGATAGCAAGGAGCAGACGGACACCGACACAGCGGTGACGCAAATCTGAAGGCTAGACCGTCCAATTTCACAGCCTCGCACTTCCGGCCTTCTCGGTCTTCGAAGGACCCGGCCCACGTAGACCGCGAAGGCCGGGTCCTCCGAAGGATGCAGCCGACGTTTTGGGACACAGCTTGTATGTTTCCTGGGTGAGAGAGGCCTTTTTGTTGTTGTTGTTGTTGTGCTAAGCTAATAGGCAGAATGCTACAGGCATAGCCCTGAAGAATGTAGCCTCATGGGCAGTGTAGTCCGTGCTGCAGGGAGAATGGACTGCCATACCCGTTATGTGTCTGTGAGCGCGAGGAGGGAGAAAAAAGGAGAGTGGAAAAGTACAAGCTGTCATCGAGCAGAAACGGGAGCTGGAAGCATGTAAATATAATAATAACCACTGCAGCCAAGAAGAGTGCCTGACAAGCCCAGTTGTAAGTAAGCTATTAAGACTCGACTGTACACTGTGTTTGTGTTTTTCTCCGAAACAATAAGTTCCGTTGGAGCAGCCTTTCAACGCCTCTCTCTGTGTCTCGCTAGAAAAGTTGACCCAGACAACAAAGTAAAACTAGTTTTCGGCTACGAGCCCGACACAAACCCACCGTATTAGCCAGAGGTCCCTTTACTACAGTTTGTAGCTGCGGACCTTAGATAATAGTAATAAATCACATTCATGTAGTTGTAAACAGCATATTAAGTAATCCAAAGTATTCAGAATACATTACTCTCATTGAGTAACGTAACGGAATACGTTACAAAATACATTTTGGGGCATGTATTCTGTAATCTGTAATGGAATACATTTTAAAAGTAACCTTCCCAACACTGCAAATGCACACCTCCACTTATATTTGGTTAAATGTCCCTTAGCAAGTTGTACTTCAGTCAGATGTCTCTACCATCAACCAGCTTCTGGTTTAATTCTTGCTGGATATTTGACCACCTCTTTCCTGTTTTTAAGAATATAGTCCTCAAATTTTCAGTATGTTTGAGGTCAAGGCGTTTATGCATTATAGTTATTTGCTGAAGCAATTAATTTGACATTAGCAAAAGAGCAAAGATTAGCAAGCTAAATACATAAATCTGCTAATGGTTTGTCAGTAATATTAACTGATAACAACTGTTATAATAATTCTGATGTGTTATGATGCAAATGTCTCAAAAGCCTGGAAACAGACTAAACATACTGAGGTGACTGACTGGTTAAATTTAAATAAAGAACCTTAAAGATTTTAGATAAATGCTAATTATCTGAGAATTGCACAACAAAATCTGTTTAGCCATAGATTATTTTTGCATGAAAAGTTAAAAATTGCAAGAACAACTACTTTGTGTACTCTGCATGTTCATGGTTTTCAAAGATCCAAATAATCACTGCTAACTTCAGGCGGGACTTGATCTTAATCCCCCTACAAGCTGTTCGCTGACAACCATTACACAAAAACACGACAAACAAAACACTAAATAACTACCAGCAAAACATACGTGACACTGTGAGATTAGACTGTAATAGAAAAGAAGAAAGAAAACAACATTCAAGCAAAAGACCACAACAGCCATCTTAAAGTTAAACAAATAAAATAAAATGAGGTGTAAACTGCATGTCTCAAATCATATGTGAAGTCATTTCAAAGTGGTTCAGGGTGGGGTATGATCTCTGAAGAAGAGTTTACAGTACTTTTGCTTGAAGTGCTCATTCTTTGTGCTCAACAGCACTTCTAAGGCTAAAACTGTGAAAACGACATGCTGCAGTGTTACATGCCAGACAATTTTTTGGCTGCTGCATTGAGTTCCTGGACTTCTGTCATCTCCATAGGATTGCCAGCTAGCTTGTTGGGTTTAAAAAAAATATCTCTAATCACAGTAATAATTTGCATCATAAAAGTCCATGCAACAAGTAGACAGGTGAAAAAAAGAGCCAGATCACATCCATGACTGATGACTTTAAAATGATCCATGTGCACAAGTTTAATGATGTCCAAAAGCAGTCATGAGATGGAAACGATGAGCCATACCGTCTCTGTGCCTGGTTTACCATCGGCCTCCTGTGGTAATGGACCATGGTAAAGCAGGCAACAGATACTCAGCCCTGTTTTCACCTGGAAGGTTTTGTTTCCTCTTGTACCACGCACCGTCCAGTGGGGACTTCTCCTCTGCAATCTCATCCTCCTCCTCCAGCAACACCTCCTCTGCAGCGAAAGAGAGAAAGGGAAAAAAAGGGGATTTTCTTTTTTACCCTTTTTTTTTTTTTTTCCTAAACACAACCATGCTTTTTGAAAGATGAGTCTAACCTGCTTTGCAGATCCACTCCAAGTATCCGGTGAGCTCTCTCTCAATCTGCTGTTGCCTGCGAAGCTTTAGAAACTCCTGTCTCTTCTCCACACGCTCTCGCTCTTTGGCAAATTCTCTGTTGAGGCAGGTTTTTTTTTTAATATATACACAGCAAGAACAGATTGCATTAACATTTAACATGTGGTAGTTTGCATTTAAAGACTTTTTTTTATGTTTGGCTCATGTAAGCAGATATTGATCTACGTAAGAGACAGATAAACTGTAGATGAAGTTGAGGTTCAAACAATTCGGGCAGATGGATTAATAATGTCAGAGTTAAGATGACAGCTGGGAAGCTGTTGAGGATATGCAAGAGGAAAAAAAGGCTGCTGGCATAGCCATAACTCTCAGGAGATATTTCCAACATTTTCAGACATGAAATGTTTGGGTGGAGAAGAAAGCTCATGATGCTGTTTCATGGCTCTGTGAGATAGGACTATTGGCAGCATATGCACTTCACGTAGAGAAAACAATGAATTGTATGATATAGTATTTTTTCCTCAGTTCTGTTTTAGGAAGCATGTTTATTCAGTTTTCAGTTGTCGCACACAACTTTCTTGTTTTAAGGTCTAATATGAAGCTATAAGCAGCAGGCTATTAGCTTAACATAAAGACTGAAAGCAGCGGTATGCATATGACATCTTTTTTTTCACAACCTCTGTAGTAGAATCATTTCAGGGATTAAGTTATTCAACCTTAGTAGTGCTAGAGTATCTCTGACTTTTCACTTGTGTTATTGTGATAATAAGATAAGAAAAGATTAACAAACAGCCTTTGACCAGCATTAGAAGTGCCTGCTCAAAGGATTTTTTTACCTTGTTGATTTCCTCTACTTTACTATTTATGCCTTGTATATAGTTAATGTAAGTTAGTGGATTGGTGGATTGGTGGTACACAGTCATCAGGAAACATGATTTGGAATACTGAACAGTTCATAGTTTTTAATAGTTTCATGAAAACCAGGAAGATGAGAGGGCAAAGTGATCATTTCACCGAAGGAATATGAGCTAGCTGTTGTTGGATCATCATTTTTCTCAAGAGCTTCATTTTAAGCAGCGTTTCCTTACGACGTCCAGACTAATGATCAAACATGTTTGCTTTAATCAAGAGTTTAAAAAGACAAGAGGCCGTGAGTCACGGCAGGTGAGGCAGGGCTCTCTGTGACCATAGACACAATGAGATGGACAGACGTTGCCTTTAGGAGTGCAGAGGACCAGGATGATTAAAGCTACCGAGCACAGGCTTTTCATTACACAAGACAGGGAAAGACAATGAGAGGAAGAAGGTGAAAAGGAGAAGCAGTAGATGATAGAAAAGCATGCTGAATATTCTGTTGATTTACTTGATTAACACTCAGTTTCAAGCCATAAGATAATCTTATTTTTTGCTGCTCCTATAAACAGCTACAATGTGGCCCTAAAATACTTATTTGTACATACAGGCCACCGAAACAGCCAGAAGCTTTAATTTAATGTCCTTTTAAAGATTATAAAATATTCTCAAGAAGTCTAATAGAAACGCATCCACTAACACATTCACATAATTTAAGTGACATAGACTTCCATTTACTGCTTATTAGCTTGCAGCATTTCCTGTCATATGGATGTGATGAGAGGATCCAAACATCAGTATGGAAGTTTATTTTTGCACTACTGAGAAAAAAGTTTACGTTCTGAGATATGTAAATTTTAAGATACCTCTGAGTAAGTAAAAAATCTTGAAATATGTAACTCAAAATTTTAAGTTATTTAGTGGAAATTTTGATAAGATCACCAAAAATATATACATACTGTATACAAGGGACACATGGGCAAGTTTAAAAAACAATAAAAGCTAAAAGTCTTTAGCAGTTGGTAAAATTCTATATTTAGCGTTTTCGATCTCTAGTTCTTAGTTGCCCCCCAACACACACTCACACACACAGTTTGTCATCCCTGTGTTCATTTTCTCGTGTGCTACATGTTCCTGTTTAAGTACAGTGGAACCCCGACTTACGAATACCTCATTTAACGAAAAATTCAAGTTATGAAGGCACTTAACGGCAATATTTCTGCCCGTGTTACAGCAAAATGCCCGTGTAACAAAATCTGCTGGCTCTGATTGGCTGAGTCCAGAAGGCCCACAATGCCTTCCGAATCATGTGACAACCCCCTTGGCTTCCGTACTTGCGCTTCGCTGTTCCACTTGAACGACGTATTGTTGTTGCAGTTAGCAATTAGCCTATAGCCTATCGTTCACTCAAAAGGCACGATGAGTGCTTCGACTTACGAAAGACCCTTGGGAATGAATTAATTTCGTAAGTTGGGGTTTCTGCTGTATTAGTATTTGCTTCTTTTGTTCATTGACTTATTAAAAGTTAGTTTTCATTGACTTTTTGTCTCACTCTTTCATTTTGCCACATCCTTTGACACAGACTGTGAGAAGTTGAAATTCAGTGAAAGAAACTGGCAACCTGACAAAAACAGCAGGGGCTTCGACAGAGGTGATTTCAAACAAGGCAAACAACATGATGATCGTAAAGAAGAGAATATATAACTACAGTTCACCCTTTAGGTTTACCTGTAATATATGACTTACCCAGAAAGAACACCAAGCACCAGGTTAAGCATGAAGAAGGAGCCGATGATTATGAGAGGGATGAAGTAAAGCCAGTTCCAAGTGTTTCCTGCGACGTCATTGGTCTGGACACACAGAAAACAATATTAGCATTAGTACTGGTATATGTAGATTTAATTCTTCTGTGCTTTGTTGTGAGATGCACTCTCAAAATCAAATTAAGTTAAAGTTTGTATACGTTAAGCTCCAAGAACATTTTCAGTGTCTTTGCCAAACTCTGAAAAAAAATGTGCAAAGCTTTTATTTCCAGTGGGAGTACAAATAAATAAATTCTCATTTCATTCATTTAATTAAACTCATAAATAAAACAAAAAATCAAAGAAAAAAGAAGTGCAAAAGGACACCTGGGCTGACTGTTCATTTTCTTATTATAAGGATAAACTGCATGCTCAGTGTAAGGTAGTAACTACACTTTACTAAGTTAATGAATAAAGTTTTGAATAAACTTGGTTCTGTATTATTGCTTTTCTTCAAACTATTTTCAAATTTTCATCCACAGCTCTGAATATAAATGTATTTTTCACTACTGTGGCTGACAGAACAAGAACTTTTGCCTACTTGCCTCATCAGAAAAACAACTTTTCAATTAAATAAAACAAAACACTGAAAAAAACAACAACCCAACACTCTATCATATCAATGGGATCCCCCAAAACAGCCCAGGTAATGTTCCTCATGCAAATAACTCGGTCCTCTATCAATGCCAAACAGAAACCTATATTTTAAAAATAAATTGCTCCTACACAAACAGAGAAACAGAGCATTTAAATGACTCTATATTCTCACTTCAAATACACAAACACAAACTGATCACCAGTCCAAGAAGGCACACGGCACCAACTGATATCAGGTAGGTGCAAAATGCAGACAACACAAACATAATAATTAGATCCCTGAACATTACATGCATATCTGACGGCTGAAATCCAAATCACGAGCATTAATCTGCTGAGATACCAGCCTCAGATGTTCACTTGTGTTTCCAGTGTTTCCGTGCTTAGTGCAGATGGTCAGACCCACAATGAAACATAAAAGAAAAGCTAAAAAATTAGGATCTACACTTATGGTCATTTAGTTCTGTCTGCTCTGTGATTTGTGACACACACTTGTTTTTACACACTTGTTTTCATGTTTTAGTTGGGACATCCAATTGACATTATGCCATCCCTAGCATGCTTTCTCTAGCATTACCTAGCCACTTCCCCTAACCATAACCATCAAAAATAAATGCCATGGCCTAACCCTAACCTAATTATAGCTCTGACACTAAAACCTTCAAACTCAGGGACAGGTATTTTTTCCCCCATAAGGGACTTTTGGTCCCCACATATTAGCATTCCATTTTTGGTCCTCACAAAAATATCTAAAACATGGTACATACGTACACACACACACACACACACACACACCACACACACACACACACACACTTACTACTCTATAGGATCCTGTGATTATGAAGTACTGTGTTCATATTAATGCAGTCATTAATGCCGAGTTTTTGGACTTTCCTCATTTATTGTTAGATCATTTCCTTAGTTATTTTTATCTGCAAAGTAAAATGAGTTTGTCTCAACAGCTCAGATTAGATGATAAACCATTATTTTAGCGTTTTTACAGTTTTTCTCAAATGCTAAAACACAAAAGCCAATCCTCTAAACAAAATGATCAGTTGTCTAAACACATTTACTAAATCTAGCCATCATTTACCAATATCATAAACACATGTCACATGAAGACACAATTCACAGGACACAATCCTCCGTTGTCATAAATCTAAACACATCTTTCCTTGCTAAAACACAAGTTGCAAAAGAACTCTGCTCATATTCTCAAATGAAAGCTCATGTGATGCAACATGCTTGCCACAGTCAGCAATATCTGAACACAATGAACACACCTGGCATCATTTATTACACACAACGACTCAAAATTGAAGACACCTGTTGCTAATGCTGTGATCACATGTATAAAAGCAAGTTCAGAGTGCACAGTATGCTGAAGATTCCAAACACACACAATGGATGAAGGCAGAGTCAGGGGAAGAGGAATTCGATGCAAAGGAGGGAGAAGAGCTGGCCCTGGAAGAAGAGGAGCAGGCCCAGGAGGGAGAGCAAGACAACCTCACACCATCATTACAGACGAGATGCGAGCAACAGTCATTGACCATGTCATTGTCCATGGCATGACAATGGCTGAAGCAGGACTAAGAGTAGGGGTGGACGATATAAACGATATACGATAGAAACGATATAAATTTGGCCAACGATAGAGATTTTGACTATATCGCTCTATCGCGATAGCGCATGTTGATGATGTCATCAAGCTGCGCCTGTTTTGGTCAGAAAGCATCGCAGCGGCTAAAACCATTATCATCTGCAAATTATGGCGGGCGACAGTCATAGCAAAGAGATGAAGCACTTTTGAAATATGGGGAAAGCCAAAAACTGCGCTTCCTCCACTTCCGTAACATTGATTCATTAATGTTGAATTCTCTCGCAGCTGCTCTATTCCCATGTTGTTGCAGTATATTAATAACTAACCTCGTATTGTGGATGAATAATCTCAGTTGTTCTCCTGACTGAAGTTTGGCCCGTGTATAGCATCCTGCTATGCGATTGCATTTGTCCCTGACCACCAGAATCCCTCACGTTAACTTTTATCGAGTGGAAAAAGTTGGCGTTCATCCTCCAGCTTCACTGTGCTAATGTTATGCTAACATAGCTGTGTCGCTAGCAATCACGTAGCACAACATTATATACCAGGTAGTCCAACTTCAGTAACCCTGCAAACGCCACTGCTGTTTAGTTTTCTGTCTTCATTTATGTTGGAAGTGGTAGCAGAGCTGTACGTTTTAATTAGTTTCAAAAATCTCTCAGTCAGAACATGGTATGAAATGTTTAGGTGGAAACTAGCGAGCTAACTTCCTGTTAACTTCTAACTCCGTTAAATTTAATAAATTCTGTTTTCATGGATGCTGGTTAAACTTAATTGTTACACCCGATAAAGCAGCAACGCTGATGATTTATTAAAGATGAAAGAATTTAGACCGTTTTTAACTCTTAGTGTTCGTTTGACTTTGGGACCTGAAGTGAGACGGAGTTTTGGACCCAGATTACTCCGCGAAGCTCCTCACTACGGCAGCCGTAATGCTCTGACAATCCATCAAGCAGTGCGGCTTACCAAAGTTGTACTAAAATTTTTTAACAGATTTCTGCACGCCAAAATCGGTTCGAGGTCAGTAAGCACAACCAGAATTCATACATAAGGCACACTCTCTGATTTTTGAGAAAATTAAAGGATTTTAAGTGTGCCTTATAGTGTGGAAAATACGTTATACAGAAGAAAAGAATATATCGTGATATATATCGTTACCGCACATGCTTCAAATTATATCGCGATATGAATTTTAGGCCATATCGCCCAGCCCTAACTAAGAGTCCATCCAAACCTGAGTAGGTTCACCGTGGCCACCATTATCAGGGCATTCAGACAACACAACAGGTATTGTACTCGATTGCTTTCTTTGTCACAATACGTTTTACAAACCTGTGAAAGTAGTCTATTGGTTTCAAATCAGTTGTGACTGTATTGTAACACATGTCAATTGACAACACATGTTTCTTTCTTTAGAGTTGAAAGAATGCCACATAGAGGTGGGAGGGTTGCCATATTTACAGCGGCACAAGAAACCCTCATTGTGGATATGGTTCGTGGGAACAACCTCATCAGACTCCGGGAGATCAGAGACAAAGTCATTGCCGATAATGTCAACTTTGAGAGCATTGACGATGTCAGCTTGGCCACAATAGACGAGTTCTCCGGCGCAAAAAGATGCGGATGAAACAGGTCTATAGGGTTCCCTTTGAGCGCAACTCTGCGCGACACAAAGACCTACGTTACGAGTATGTGCAAGTAAGTATACATCCATGTTCACAGTACAGTTAGTGGACATACTGTGTTGCTCAGTGGCCTACATTACTTCTGGACAATACTGTGCTACCTGATTGACTGTTGTTCTGAACACCTGTGCACTTTCACATTTTCACAGAGGATATTACAGTTGGACGCGATGGCCAGACCTCATGAGTACCTCTTCCTGGATGAGGCTGGCTTCAACCTGCAGAAACGAAGGCAAAGAGGCCGTAACATCATTGGCCAAAGAGCCATCACTGAGGTCCCTGGCCAACGGGGGGTAATATTACCCTTTGTGCGGCCATGGGTTCGGAGGGGCTTGTCCACCGGCATGCTGTCCTTGGGTCTTACAACACCCAACGTCTCCTCACCTTCCTAGAGGAGCTAAAAGACATCCTCCTGGACCGCCAACAACACCATCCTGGGCCCGCACATCACATTTATGTGATCATTTGGGACAATGTCCGCTTCCACAGAACAAACCAAATCAGAGAGTGGTTCACCACCAACAGTGACCACTTTTTAAACGTCTGTCTGCCACCCTACTCCCCTTTCCTGAACCCTATAGAGGAGTTCTTCTCATCGTGGAGATGGAAGGTTTATGACAGACAACCATACACAAGAGAGAACCTCCTAAGGGCAATGGAGCTGGCCTGTGTTGACATCCCAGCGGAGGCCTTCCAAGGATGGATTCGTCATTCCAGGGCGTTTTTCCCGCGGTGCCTGGCGAGAGACAATATAGCCTGCGATGTGGATGAGGTGATGTGGCTCGATGCAGCTCAGCGACATGATGCCGCACAGTGATTGTGGTGTGTGTGTGGTGTGAATAACGTAAATAAAAAATCTTCACACCCTGATCATGCTTTCAAGAGTACTGTTGTGTGCAATAGATTCTGTTTTTGCATTGAGTTGTGTTACAGTAGTGTACATACATGCAGGATTTTCTATGGATTTATACTCTTCATATGAAACTCACAAATCTAAATGCCTAATCCCCCACAGAGATCTACGACGATTCGTTACTGTATAGTTTCTAAAAATATGCATTGGCAGTTATGAAAAGAACCTTCTCACAAATTGAGCATTGTGTTTTCAATTCTTTTGCTGTAGTGTGTAATGATGTGTATAGTGTTTACATTTTGTTGTGTTT